TAAGGGGGTACCCAATTTCCCCAGTGTCGTCTAAGATTCCCGTCATATCCCTATGCAGGCCACACTGGCCTCAAACTCAGAGGTCCAACCACCTACTTCTGCTGGGATTAAAGGGGGTGCTACCACACTTGGACCATAATTTTAAAGACCACTTGTATGTTTTGCCCTGAAGATAAAATGTGAATTTAATGCCTTGGGCCAAGGAGCTAACTTACCATGGATATCCGGTATGTGAATAAATGATATGGTACCCACGCCACCCCTAACCTGCCCAGCACCACTGGGCAAAGGACAAAAAAGCAAGTGCTACACATTTTTTTGTTTTGTTTTGTCTTTTTGAGGCAGGATCTCCCTGCAGCCACAGCTGGTCTGGAACTGACTATGAAGACCAGGCTGGCCTCTATCTCACAGAGATCCGCCTGCCTCTGCCTCCCGAGTGCTGGGATTAAAGATGAGTGCCACGAGACCTGATTCCCAACACATCTTTTAATCACCCTCCAGTCATATACACTATGCCACCCACCAAATCAGGGGTGCCAAGAAAGGCTGAGGATGATGTTCAGAGATAAGGCCTAAAGAGAAAGGAGGAGATAAACCAGAGGTACAGGGTAGCTCAGGAGTGTGACACTTGCCTAGAATACTCCAAAACTAGGGCCAGATCCATAACATGGGGTGGGGGGGAGAACAACAGGAATGAACTTGAATCAATTAGAAGGAGAAGGAGAAAAAGAGCATTTCCTGCCAATAAGCATGCATGGAAAGGCATTGAGAAAAGATGGAAAAATAAAAATTACAGGTTTGGGAGAAGGGTATGTATGTGTGGAGAGGAGAGAGCCATTTTAAAAACCACAAATATAAGTTTTTATTGCAATGTCAAGATTTTAGAACTCAGCATGAGGAACTAAGGAGCCCTGGACAGATATTAAAGAGGAAAGAGGTAGATCTAATTTGGAGAAGTTTAACAGAGCCTGGACTGTGCATTAAGGAGAAGGGGACAGTTACAACCACCACGGAAGATGAAGGGAGAGGAATGTGTTTCTATAAACTGGCAAGGAAAGAGAAGTAGGGAGGACCACACCAGGTCTTCGGTTCACCTGTGCTCTCTAAGGTGACAAAAAGGAGCAGGTTTGGGTGGGGGTGCGAAACAAGCACAGTCTTAAGATGTCAGTGCAGCATTCACAGGAATATTCAGTAGGCAATGAGACACACATCTGGAAGAAAATGTTAAAATGAAGAGGTAGGACTACCGGTATATTAATGAGAGGCCCAGGGTAGACTGAAGAAGGAAGCAGAGGAGGAGGCATGCACGATGGTTGGGACAAGCAGCTAGGGATAAGAAGGAAAGTAGAAATCCTGACTGTTACAAACCTGAGGCCATGACTCACAGAGAAATGCCAAGGCAGACTGGAGCAAAGGAGGTTCTACTGAACTTAGTCGTCACGAGGCGCTGGTTACCTAGAGCGGCTTCACTTAACACAGGGATCTGAGCTGAACACAGAGGCTTGGGAACAGAAGGGTCCATGAAAAGAAAAAACAGAAGGCTCTTCAGAAACCTTTCAGCAACTTTTCAGATTTAGGGATGATTACCTGGTACTGACCAAAGACTCATTTCAATTTTCATGATTTGGAGCAACATTGTTGCTTCCTTCTTAAATGAGATAGTCAAGCCTGCAGAAAACATGACCCTGTCTTCTCCACATACCTAATGCAGGTAGTTCATTTACACGTTCCCTGGCATGCTTGAGTGTGTGTGGGTCACTGTCCTAGCTTCCTTCAAAAGAAGGAACTTCTTTACATCATTGGAAAAATATTGGTCATATTTTAGTACTTTCTGTTATGGAGCCTTAATACTGTTGCACAGAGCTCCCTGGCAGATATGTACCAACCAGGAAATAAAAAGCAGGTTTGTCAGGGATGTGAACTTTGGATTCAGACAGATGTATTTGAATTTTGGTTCCACCCTTTGTAAACTAAGCAAGCTCAGTCAAATGAACTAACCTCATTGACACTTAGAGTCCCCATATATACAGGCACATAGTAAATGACTAACATTTAGTGAACAAAGTAAAAATGAAGATGAAATCTAATGAGACCTGCAGAGTAGTTGGGAAAATTAAGTACATTAAGCATTTAGACACAATAGGTTTCACGCTATCACTATTTTAAAATATACCTATCTTTCTTACAGCTTTTCATCATCCAAACAAAACAAAAACCAATAGGTCTGGTATTCCATGGAATTAAATAGAAGGTTCTTGGCTTAAATTTTTAATGAAAATTTAGCTCTTACAGTATTTGCTTT